TTCCTACCAAAGCCGATGCCGATATCGGTATCGTAATAAAAGGATGTAGTAACGAATCACATTGGGACATCCAGTACGCCTGAGGGGGAGTGTTGCCCGTCTGGTCGCAACGGGGCATGGGGGGGGGGGAGGGTACCCGCTGGGAGCCGTGCTTTGTATGGCTTTTGGGTGACGGCGGGGGTGGACTGTGGACGGAGCTGCACACGGCTGGATTGCCTGGACTGAGCGGAGCTGCTGCTGGAATTGCAGGCAGGGGATCAGTGGGACCAGGATCAGATTGGCGGGCGGTGCCTCGGCGGGATCACCGGCGGGCTCGCCGAGACCAGACATTGCGCCGGCGGCTGGCGTTTGTTTTTCGCAAGAAAGATTGAAAAGAGGCTCCACGTTGCGGTCCTCACGGGCACCGGGAGGCTCGCAGGCCGAGGGCCTTGCCAACGGCCACGGCCTCACCAACGGCCACGGCCCCGCCAACGGCCACGGCCCCGCCAGTGGCCACGGGCCCGTCAACGGCGACGGCGGGCCGGCGAACGGCCACGACCCGACCAGGGGCTCGGCGCCGGCCTCCGCCAACGGTCACCACCACCAGGACGGCCACCAGCAGCATGCGGTGACCATGGCGAGGACGACGCAGGCCTCCACCTCCAGAGAGCCGTTCCGGTGACACGCGGCCTCGCCCAAGGGCGACCCCACGGGCACGGTGAGGACGCACAGGGACAACCCTAAAATTATCCAGCCAATGGAAGGTTGGACTCATATCACATTCCTGCCAGTATACAGTCGCCCAAGCCCGTCGAGAGGCTTTCGGCGGAGAATATTCTGTGACCCTGACCAACCCCTTAGATTCGACCACCTCGCCCAGGCTTTGCACCGCTGCTCACCTGCGATACCCGGTGACCCCATCCAGCAAAACCTCTCTAACTTTCCTCCGCCAGCCCCTCCCACCCCGCTCACTCCACCCGCCCGTCATGACCCTTGGGCCCCTCGGGGGGTCGCAGGTCGCGTGAGCCGCCCCCTGCGCAGGCGGGGCCGGCCGGGGCCCACCCCGCCCAGCTGGAGGCCGGGCAGGGGCTGCGGGGGCGGTGGAGGGCGGACATGCCTGGCCTCTGGCTGCTGCTGGATTTTCAATTGGGAAATGGAACCCCTGCGACGCTGCATGGCCACCGACGCCAGCGGAGGTTCTGGAAGGGAGGGGCCGAGACTCATCCTCATTGGCGTCGCGTTACGTAGTTTGCGAACACTCCCCGTTGCATTCACCGTGAGGTGGTGTCGGGTGGCGTGAGTGATCGTGCTTGCACAATGGACGCGAGGCCGCGAAGTGCGGAAGGAACTTACAAGATTACACCATTTGCAGGGGGTTTACCAGCATTTCACCCATGCCTATTAGTTTCTAGACTAACAATTTCGGGTTTTGGGCGGTATTAAAGTTACCTCAGTTCCAACCAGGAAAAAATGTCAGAGGCCCCCAAATAATTTTACTTCAATTGCATCCCTACGTTAAGAGTTTTGTGCGACGGGTCCACACACTGGTAAAACACAGGCGACATCGATTGCATACGCCCGCTTTATTACTATCCAGAGCAGGAGGAGGGTGGGCTAAAAAGTGCATGTTTTGTGCACGACTGTACAGCGTTGAGCAGACGCGCTCTCATTCTGAGGGTGGGCCAAGACGTGCGGCCAGGAGCCACGCGTGCCTCCCC